CCTAGCATTCCTACTATTATTTCCGTATTTTTCCGTATTTTTCCGTATTTTTTATCGCCCATCATTCTATCCCTATTCCTCTATGTATCTACCCTAGCTCCAGAGCCCATACCTAGCCCCATACATCCTCCCCATACCCTGCATCCAGCTATCCTAGCCCTACTGCACAATTACCCCCCATTTTCCTACCCTATCCTACCCCCTACCCCATCCCCTACCCATCCCCAAACCACCCCCTACCCCGGGGCCACACCCCATACCTACCCACCCATTTTTTCACCCATTTTTTGCCTATTTTTTCGCCCATTTTTCCAGCCAGAATACCCACCAGCACCACTGCTCTTTAATAAAGAGCCCTTATTAGCATGGGCCAGTAAGATGATGGGCTCTCTGTATAGAGTCCCAGTCTTACTATAGGGACTCTTTATAAACAGGCTACAGCTACGCCTGATGACAGGCTGTCAGTCACTGGATCAGTAAGCTCGATGAATGACTCTCTGGGAAGAAGAAGGCCGCTGCAAATATCCGAAAGCAGACGCTTATGCTAAACTCAACGGATTGGCAGATGCTTCAGGATGTACTTGAGATCCTTGAAGTAAGTTCCTCCCTTTTAGGGTGTACTTCAATTCTTCCTGGGGTAGAAGAACCAGGCTTCATTCTGTACTTACTCATGACTCCGCTAGCCTTTCCACGACACCACAATCGAACTTTCTGAAGGTGGAGTTCCGACCTTACCAATGGTTCTTCCAATTTACAAGGGCATTCAACAACATCTTTAAGCTCGAATTGCTGAGCTCAACCTCAAGCCCGAGCCTAATCGCTACAACCTTTGTACAGCCCTTCAAGCTGCCCTCAAAAAACTCGATGTTCATCACAAGAAGGCTATGGACTCACATTTTCCCTTATTGGCTACAGACAGTGCTCTTTCCATCGTCTCTTTCGTGTACCTAACGTGTATTCACCTGGGCTTGTTGCTCCAGTTCTTCATCCAGGTATGCGAACGGAATACTTCACCGATTCCAAACGTGGTGACGGCCCGAGTTGGCTTCCAAAGCCGAAAGCATACTTGAGCACATATATCTGCAGTATGTGGATGAGTGCCCAGAGTTCAAGGACTTTAAGTCTGGCAAGCCCTCCAAGGATTCAAAAGATCCAAAAGGTTTTTTTGCGAAGTCCATTCGTGCTTCGTCTTCCACGCTGACTGGGGACGGAGGCTCTGTGAACGCTCGGATGCGAGCAGAGTTAGACAAATTTTTCAGTGGTGCCTACGCTTGGCAGGAAGGGATGAAAATTCTGGATTGGTGGAAGGTATGTGGTTTGTTTAATTCGGTATTTCCCATGATCTTCAATCCCTGCAATCACATATCTAGGCACATTCATCCAAGTTTCCTATACTTGCTCAGATCGCAAGGGACATGCGAGGGGAGCGAGGAGCGAGGAGCGAAGCTCCGAGCGTCAAGATGATGAGGTGTTCGAGTAGAACACAGCGAGAGTAAGGGCGGCCGCGACGTGTAGGCCAACGTTTCGTCTGTAAAGACTCATCAGGCGGCGGGTTTCGAACCTCAAGCATGAGCGCGGTCGACGAATCGGAGTTCGAACCGCGCGCGCGGCGCAAGCAGCGGAACCCGTTGTGGCGGGCTCGACGCATCTCATTGACTTGCACAGGCTCTTCGTGCTATATTTTAGGTCTGATTCCTGTGGCGAAAACAGATCCTAAGCAGACAAATATAGCTCACATACTTACATCTTGGTCAACGAAGTTTCGCGCACCTGGCGAGCTTGCTAGACTCGAAAGGCGAACATATGAAACAACGTCGACCTCGCATGAGGGATGAAAAATACAAGGGCCGGTGCAGGACACGAGGCAGGATAATTCTCAATGTATATTTCGCTCAACACGAGCAGATGCAAATACAATTTTCTGAACACGTGTGTATTAGGATGATCTCATAGGTTTAAACTGTTTTTTGACGGGTCAGGTCAAATTACAGTATACAAGAACGCTCGATACACGATCAAAAAATCGGTGAGTAGAACGAGAATGAACAGATGTAATGAACTTGAAGGGTCTATCGTAGGACGAGGGGAGGGGCGTGTAAGCGCCCTTCTCCCGAAGTCCGAAGATAGACCCAAAAGTTTTCACACCAAACGTTCATCGCTACTCATGCTTGATCGGCTTCAAGAATCTTCCGGTTGTTTGAATTTAACCGGTCACCTAAACACTCTGGCTTTTTAAATGATGCAAGATAACGATCACTGGCCTCCCCGAGCCCTGTGTCTTCAAATGCATCACACAGAGAACGCCATATGGGGCCAAAATCTACGGCATCCCACAATGGATTATAGGTGAGTTTCAGAACAAACAGCCGTCTCGCACGTTCATCCTCCGAAATTGGAGGGTGTGGAAGAAGCGCGGTTGAGCGCTGTGCGGTGTATGACACTTCTGAAATAACTCTTTGAAGTCACCTCCCTGGATATCCACGCATGCGAAGACGCTTTATGAATAGCCCACGAATCTTCAAGAAATCCTCCTCTCTTGAAGAAATTCTGACGTAGCGAATCAATTCGCCTTTAACCCAAGCACGCTTGGATTCGACAGAATGGCATGAGCGCCAAGGGATGTAGAGATAGGAATTCATTGCTTTCTGATATACGCGCGTGACAACCTCAACCTGAGTGGAGCGGAAGAGGACGCCTGGTGCTGTCTCTAATGAGACATGTACATCAAGAAATGGCAATTGGACTCTAGATTGAGACCATTCCATTCTCATGTTTGGATGTAGCTCTCTAAACCGCTTCTGGAATCGATGTACCTCGTCTATAGAACCATGTATGATAGCAAATGTATCATCAATGAATCGTCCGTAGAACAAGGTTGACCGTTTAAACTCCGGAAGCGCGTGTACCTCATAGGACGCAAGGAATAGGTTTGCATAAGTGGGTGCAAGTGCAGTTCCCATTGCAGTACCAACAACCTGACGCCAGGTACGCCCACAGAAAGACGCGTAGTTAAATTGTAACACAAGTCGCAGAAGAACTATGGTCAGTTCATCTAGCGAGCGTATTTTCAATTTAGCTGCTTCCTCCAGCGTTTTGAATCGCATGGGGGAGACACCGAACAATGCAGCAATGCGACGTATGCCATCCGCAATAGGGATGTTGGGGTACATCGCAACTACATCACCCGATACGAGCCAAACTTCTTCACCGACCGGGAATTTAACATCAAGAATTCTCCGACAAAATGTCTTTGAATCAGGTAAAATCCATGGAAAACGATCGAGAAGGGGCTTGAGGCGAAAATCTACCCAGGACGACGCATTGGCCAACAGTGTGCCAAACGATGGTATAATGGGGCGTCCAGATACTGGGGACTTGTGTATCTTAGGTAGAACCTTAATAACCGGGACTTTTCTGGTCTTAGCTTCGACAGGCGCAAGTAGCCATAGGTACTGTTGCCGAGTCAGAAGTCGACGAGAGGATGAAACAATATATTCTAAGGTAGAACACATCATCTCATGGTCCGGCTCTTCCTCACGATAGGAAGGGTTATCCAACAACTTAATCGCCTGTTGATGGTACCACTCGAGAGTAACCAAGCAGATACCGAGATTTTTGTCTGCGGGAACTGCCAGTAACTTCCCATCTTTTAGGATGCGAAGAAGATTCTTAAACTCCTTGTGGTTTAGGTTGGAACGGATATGCAGTGCTTGAGCGCTGAGAACTTGCAATTCCAGTATCCTTCGTGCATTTTGGAGTGCTATCTCATTGTGAAAGAGAAGGCGAGGCCCCGTTGCTTCAGGGTTCGGAATGTGGAATTTAGGGATATAGCGGGGCTGACCCTTCTCTATATCCGGATCCAGCATGGTAGTGTTCAAACGGTTTAGCCGCTCTCTACTCGCATGCTCCGAAAGCCGCAGACGCCGTGAAAAATCATCGAACGATGCTAATGCACTTTGAACCGAAGTCTTAATTGGCTTCGGTGCAAATTTCATGTTCAATGAAAGTATCTTGGCTTGGGCATACGTTAAATCGATCTCAGTCAAGTTATGGAAGGCTTGATTTGACAGGCGAGTATCATAATACAACACCGACATCCGAGAAACAATAAAACGACACTGAAGTGCTCGTGATGCACTGAAGAATAACGGGGGGTATGATTCTGGTTTAAGCCTATGAAAGCGAATACCAGGTGGGAAGGTCCAAGAAGATACAATATTTGGATGTCCAAGAAAAGGGATCGAGTCTGACGACGACAAAGATAATGACGACGATGAAGACAGCGAGACAGACAACGACGACGAAGATGATATGGGCTGCGATGACAAGTGCGTTACGGAAGACCGTGACGTACACAAGACCGACGAGCTCGACAACGTAGACGATGACGGTAACAGAGAAGTATAAGATGGAATACAAGGAGGGATGGCAGACTTTAATGCAATAGAAATGTTCATGCGCGAATGTTCGAACCGAACACCGTCCGAAACAAGTTCAATCACGTCGTCTCCTTCCCCTTCCCCTTGTCGTTCCCTCCTCCTCCGTTCCCCTTCTTGGCGGCCTTTCCTCCGCCGTTTCCTCCGTTTCCGCCCCCTTCCTTCTTCGCCTTGTTCTTCTTCGATGCACTCGCATTTGCGTTTGCGTTCGATGATGAAGCGGCGGGTTGGGATTGGGTGGAGGATCCACCTTTTTTCTTCTTCTTCGACGCCGGAGCGTCGTCGTCTTTGGCCTTGTCCTGAGAGGACGATGCAGGTTTCTGCTGGCCTAGGCGAAGAAAGGTGGGTGGGGTGAGGGCGTGACGATGAAAAGCTAGTGAAATCAGACGTACTGATTTCCGCTTTAAGCTTTTTAAGCTTTTCATCGATGAGGTCTTCGACGGATTGAGTGTCCATCTTGACCTCAGCCTCTGACTGCGCAGCCGCAAGGTCCGCCGCTCTACGAGCAGCGTCCTCTTTAGCAGCTATGAAAGCGCCAACGACTTCGAGTCGTGTCGCCTCCAATTGCAAGTCGAGGGCCCGCACCACTGCTTCGATGTACGGTTTCCAACGGTTCAGATCCACTGCACCAAATTCTGAAAGGACTTTGGACGCATATTGGGTCAGATCCGCCGTACACGCCTCCATCCGCTCCCGACTGTCCACAAGTGCACGAGAGTGATTCACCTGGGTGTTGAAACACGCCAGTTGATACACGGTCGCAGCCTTACGAACAGCGATCAACGCAGAGGAGTACTCTAAAAAGGCTTCGGAGGCTTTCGCCTCCGACTCCGCCTCGCTGGAAACGAACGCGAAGGTCGGACCTTTCAGAGTATTGAGGATCACGCTAGGAGTTTCCTCCCGTTGCATGACCTCGTTGAAGCGCTCACGACCGGCAGCACGCTTGGAATGATCTTCGCAAGCACGCTTGTAGCCAGAGAGCGAACCGTTGTATAAACGGACGAACTCCGCTACGACCGAGTCGGGTGGTGTGACCGGTAACAGCTGAACAGCGCAGAGCTGAACAGACCATTCCTTTGGGACGCTAGGCGACCCAGAGGACGACTTGCCTTTCGCGGCGGGCGCGGCGGGCACAGTCGAACCGGCCGGGGGGTTCTGAGATTTAATCTGAGAGCTCACCTCGGCATTCCCGGCGGTATCCAGCCGTTTGCGTTTCGAACCGGCGTTTTCGCTGTTAGACATCGTAGATACGGAGCTAAGGAAGCGATACGAGGAGCGGTAAGTGCGGCGGGCGGGTAATTGGTTGGTGCGGGGACGACGAGTGTCGCGTGTGAGCGAGAGTGGTGGTTGGTTGAAACCGGTTAAGCAACGAACGGAGCGAAAAGAGTATGCGAGGGGAGCGAGGAGCGAGGAGCGAAGCTCCGAGCGTCAAGATGATGAGGTGTTCGAGTAGAACACAGCGAGAGTAAGGGCGGCCGCGACGTGTAGGCCAACGTTTCGTCTGTAAAGACTCATCAGGCGGCAGGTTTCGAACCTCAAGCATGAGCGCGGTCGACGAATCGGAGTTCGAACCGCGCGCGCGGCGCAAGCAGCGGAACCCGTTGTGGCGGGCTCGACGCATCTCATTGACTTGCACAGGCTCTTCGTGCTATATTTTAGGTCATTGCCGTGCAACATGCAAAAGCTGCTTCTAAGAAGCATGATTGCCAATAGAAGCACAGTTAGCATCAGAAGCGTGACTGTGCTTATTTTGCTTCTTCTGGGCTTCTTTTGCAAATTCTGGAGATCCCTAGGGTGAGATGTGTACTGCAATGACGTTTCTGCTGTCTACTCTACTCAAACGTCGACAGCAGAAATGTCATCGGGGCCCATACACTGTTCTTTCCCTCCATGTGCCACTCGGGCCACAACAGGGCATGCCACGATTATATCCGTGCGAGTACCTGTATACATGGGAACAAGTACCTGTGCCCTCAGAGGCCACACCTGTATCCGGGGTGGCATCCGTGGGAACGGGTATCCATATCCACAGATACAGGTACTTGCCAATGGGCGGATGTCATAACCGCCACCTGTACCCTATGCATATGACCTGTTTTTAATTCATTTTCTGCATTATTCGCCTCCGCGCGCCACCCACAAATGACGCCACGGTTGCCACGAGTCCTCCACATTTTTACCCACATTTCTATCATTTTATTTCAACCTTCGAGCCTCGTCAAACCCCCACAAGCCACATAAGAAAACCAGGCCGGCAAGTCCCGCACTCGCGCGTCGAGCCTCGTTTCTTAAGTCTCGACCATCGTAAACTGTCTACCGCGACATTTCTCCTATCAACACACAACGGACCGAATACCTGCATGGACCATAACATGCCAAGGAGGCTTCCCCAATTTATCTGGGGCTTTTACGATTTTATTCAAGCCATGCACGAGGAGCGATCACAGCTACGGAAGCTCGCACTGAGCTGCCGGTTCCTGTGGAACGTTTCGACGCGCTAGGGTTTCCACACCCCTTCGGACGAAGCTACAGGACACAATACTGGGGGGTTTCTCTCCGAACAAAATTCCAGAGGACTCTCTCAAACTCGAGCTTTCTATTGATCCAACAATCTCGGCGATTGGGCCACTGTGGAATATACTACAACACGATCTTGGTCTCAACATCGCTCAGGGCCATCAGATAGTGTTTCCCCTTGTGTAGCTCGACCAGTTTCCACTCAATCACCGACGTTTTGATATAGAGAGGTTCCTACTGGTTCATACTATTATTCTACTGTGTCTCCGTATTTTATCTGTGCCTTACTACTCTGGGATAATTGTTTATGTTCGCAGAGTCCGTACCCATTGTTCTCCAGATCGTTTTTCCCTTTCTCTTAGCCTCGTTATTCACCTTATCTTCTCTTCCTACCTTGGACTACTTTGTTTACATGCTACGGATGTGTGGTTTGTGCCGCTCAGTGTTCTTTCTAGTGCACCAACTTAGTGCACAATTATTTGTCTTTCCTCTTTGTCTCTCCTCTGATTATTTCATCTTACTTTTCATTTTGCTTACAATTGAGGTGTTCTGGGATTTGTATAAATACTACGTAGCACTCGCATGTATTTCTCCAGCTTTTGGATCGTCTATTCCTGGTCGACTATTAGTCTCAATCAATTACCTTTCCGATTTTCCACCATCTCTTGTCTTGAGCCGTGGGGTACTTAGACTCCCTTATTGCCTGGTCGTGACAGCGGGTACTCATGGATAGAGTTAATCCACGGGTATTTTGAAGGTACCTGAGGGGTACCCGTGGGTACTGTGGTAAATATGAGCTGGGGAAGGGGGTATAGGGGTACTCACCAGGTCAATACCGTCGTTCTAGATGACGGGCGGGCCAAATCGCGTTGGACAAAGTACAGGAGGTGATGAAGGACATTAGTCCGCGCCAATTGAGCCTGCAATGTCGGAAATGTACGCGGAATTGAGTGAGAACGAGCATTCTTACAGTTGGAGGGGTAATGGGCACTCACCGGGGTCAACACCGGCGTTCTCAACGATGAGCAGGCCATTTCTCGTCAAAATAAGTGCAGGGCCCAATGAAGGAGCTCATGACGCATCGATCGGTGTCATTACTTCCAAAACAACGCGTGATTTGAGCGAGAACGGACAAATTTGCGGTTTGAGGGGGTAGTGGGCACTCACCGGGGTCAACACCGCCATTCTCAACGACAAGTGGCCCGTTTCTCATGAAACAAAATACAGGGCCCAATGCAGGGGATCAAGACACGTCGATTGATGGTACTACATCAGAAACATACACATTATTGAGCGAGAACGAGCGATTTTACGATGGCAAGGGGGTGGGACTCCACACTCATTCACTCAAAGACCCACAAGATCCTTATAGAAACAAGTACACAGGATGAGTGGCACCACCATTGATGGCGACACGACGTGTCAATTACATCACACAGTGGTGTATGCTCGGGGAAGTGGGAGAGAGTGAGGAGGAGAGCGAGGAGAGTGAGGAGTCGCTGGACAAACATCTGGCCTCCGGCAAGCTCCGGCCTGGAAATGACGAATATGGCAGGTACTCTCCCACGAGTACCTGTGAGCCCCAGCATCAGACCTGTATCCGTGCGCACACCCGTGGGAATGAGTATCTGTATCCACGGATACAGGTACCCGATGGTATGCCTTACGAGTATCCATTGCAGGTACTCACGGGTCCTGGTACTCATGGCATGCCCTGGGCCACAAACCGTTAAATTATCGCTGCTCAAGCTACAGACATCACACAGGCTCACAAAAATGACTATAATTTTGAAAAAGTTCACATCTATCTGGAACATGTTTGATATCCACCACAATGATGATATTTGCTCCAATATTCACAAAATACGCTAAACTGGGCCCCCTCTTCACTCAGTTTAGCATATTTGATGAATTCCAGAGCGTATGACGTCATCTCAGTGGGAGCCAGATATATGTCACATAGATTTGAATAGTCCGCAAATTATGGAGATTTTTAAGAGACTGTACAATGTATGTAGCTTGTGTGGCGATAATCTGACAGTTTACCCCCTAAACGGAATGAAAACACGGACCAGGCACTGGAGGGGCATAGGATGATGTAGGAAGCGTCGTCGCTGGCCAAACGACGACACTTGATGCATCATTGCATGCCCCTTCAGTGCCTCAATACTCCATAATTGGCAAAAAGAAGCACAATCAACACTAGAACCAGTGGAAGAGAGCCTGTGACTTTCAAGCTTTCAGAGCCGATGATAGTTGCTGCAGTGGCCATCAAACACAAAGAATTCCTCTTTCAACAGATGCTAAACACTCATCATTAGGGACATGCACCCAAGATCCACGCCAGGGCATGCCACGATTACCGGACGGGTACCTGTGCCTATAATACCAATAAACGGATAGCCACAGTTTCCAGCTTTCAAACGAGCCCAGGGTCATGTCATTTGGACAAGAATTGACTGAGTTATGCTCAAAATAAGTTTCAGCCATTTTTATGCAGGACTAGTCATGGGGGGTGTAAAATGGGATACAGGTACTCATAGGTACCTCTGACCTATTTTACACCCCCCATGACTAGTCCTGCATAAAAATGGGCATAACTCAGTCAATTCTTGTCCAAATGACATGACCCTGGGCTCGTTTGAAAGCTGGAAACTGTGGCTATCCTTTTATTGGTATTATAGGCATAGGTACCCGTCCGGTAATCGTGGCATGCCCTGATCCACAGATACTTCTTTGAGCTCCAAGTGATTATCACATTAATGGACATCTTCTCTATGTTTACACAGTTGTGTGATATGTTGACCTTCCACCCCACATTAAATCACTTGGGAGACCTCCAGCTCACATTGGTCAGTGTTCATTTGATAGGGGGCATATATGTGGTGGCAAGAGCCTCAGTGGATGGAGGCCCTTGCGTTCAGTATGCCTACAGGGTGAACAGCGTCGAAGAGACGCTTGAAGGTATCACCACTTGCACGGAAACCACATTCGTCGTTATTGATCCTTTTCATGGCGCTGATCTGCACATGTGGACAATGGAAATGCTCACTGGAGAACTCATCGAAATAGTAATTCAATGCAAGTTCACCGGTGGTATATAAGGACACGGGGAGAGGCCAAGGCCGAGCACATTCACAGCAGCTGTGGACAGCCTTGACGGGAAAAGATTCTACAGAGGGAGAGCAGAAAGGTACATACTCATTTCTCGTGTGCTTATGATCTCTGTACAATACCTGACTCTATACCCTCTTTGTTTTGTATTTTCTGGTAAGATGGTCGCAAGAGGTAAAGATGTTATTGATGACTACAAGAAGATGGGAAAGGCTAGAGATCCTTCTTACCAACCATCTGGCCATGGATCATTGTCCAAGAAGAAGAAGCCCAAGAAGCTCCCATGTTTGATCTACATAGTCACAATTGCAGGAATCGAAGAGTCACCTGAGGCGCTCTTGAACAGCCTATGTCTTAAGAACAACATCCCCATCGTGTTATTGAAGAATGACCGCTTCAGGACACTGTTTGGTAACAGATGGGCTCACACTTTTCATCAGACTAAGAGTGAGCCACCACTAGCTATGTTAGGGTCTGTCACTTCCAAACGTTGCAGGGCTGGAGTATGAATTTTATGTTAATAATATTTTCCTCTTCATGTTCTGGTCAGGCCTTCATGCTATATTTATGTACTGTGACCCAGTCTTTTATACAATGTTATACACCCTAAGGTTTGATCTATACTATTCGATAGATGTAAGATGGCAAATAGACATTCAAAGGACACGCAATGGAGAGATCGACGATACCACTAGTCAGGATTGTGGATACGGAATACATGACTATTGAAGCAAGTTACAGGGCATGCCACGAGTACCAGGACCCGTGAGTACCTGCAACAGATACTCGTAAGGCACACCATCGGGTACCTGTATCTGTGGATACAGATACTCATTCCGACGGGTGGCTGCACAGATACAGGTAGCGCTTCAGGTCCCACAGGTACCCATGGGAGAGTACCTGCCATATCGCGTCGGAATTTTGCCACAGGCCAGACGTGCATCCAATGATGCTTTGCTGGCACATCTCTCCTCACTCTTCTCCGAGCACACATCACCATCGACAGAGTTGACACGTCGTGTTTCTGTCCATGGTGGTGATGCTCATTCTAGGCACTGGTTTCTATATCTATTGGTACTTTGTTGAAGAGATTTGGTGTGTTCATTGTTGGGAATGATGGTACTGACCTGGTGAGTACCTCCCTCCCATTCTTATCGTAAATTTGCTCGTTCTCATCCAATAGTGCGTACATTTCCGACGTTACAGGGTCAATCGACGAGGATTAATGTCCCACATCGCCTCCTGCACTTGGTTTGACGTGATCCGGCCCACCCGTCGTCGAGAACGACGACATTGACCTGGTGAGTACCCCCTGCTACCTTCTATCGTAGATTTCTTCGTTCTCACTCAATTCCGTGTACGTTTACAACGTTGCGGGGTCAATCGACGAGAATTAATGTCCCGCATCACCCTCCATACTTGATTTGACATGATTCGGCCCCCCCGTTGTCGAGAACGACGGCAATGACCTGGTGAGCACTATCTTCTTCCTCCTATCGTAAATGTGCTCGTTCTCACTCAATTCTGCGTATGTTTACAACGTTGCGGGGTCGATCAACGCGTGTTGATGTCCCGCATCGCCTCCCATACTTGAATTGATGCAATTCAGCCCATTTGTCATCGAGAACGACAACATTGACCTGGTGAGTGCCCCCTCCTACCTTCTATCGTAAATGTGCTCGTTCTCATCCAATTCTGCGTATGTTTCCGACGTTGCGGGGTCAATCGACGCGGTTCAATGTCCCGCATCGCTCCCTGCCCTTGGTTGGATGCAATTCGGCCCACCCGTTGTCGAGAACGTCAGTATTGACCTGGTGAGTACCTCCTGCTTCCCTCTACCGTAAATTTGTTCATTCTCACTCAATTCCGCGTATATTTCCGACGTTATGGGGTCAATCGATGCGGACTAATGGCCTTCATCACCTCCCGTACTTCGTTTGACACGATTTGGCCCACCCGTCGTCGAGAACAACAGTATTGACCTGGTGAGTACCCCTATACCCCCTTCCCCAGCTCATATTTATCACATTACCCATGGGTACCCCTCAGGTACCTTCAAGATACCTGTAGATTATTTCTATCCATGAGTACCTGTATCCATGGATATAGATACCCGTTCCCACGGATGCCACCCCGGATACAGGTGTGGCCTCTGAGGGCACAGGTACTTGTTTCCACGGATACAGGTACTCGCACGGATATAATCGTGGCATGCCCTGGCAAGTTACAGGCACAATCCGCAAGATGAAAAAAAGAATACCAAATTGTGGAGAAAGAACGATGGAATAGAAGCACTTGAAATCACAGACATGTTGAACCATGCTGGACACGAAAATGGGTAGCCAATGGAGAGATCAACGATATCACTGGACAGGATTGTGGATACGGAATACGTGAATCTTTGAACAAGTTACAGGCACAATTTGCGAAACAAAAAAAAAAGAATACCAAACTGTGGAGAAAGAACGATGGAATAGAAACACTTGAAATCACAGATGTGTTGAACCACACTAGACATAAGCTGATCCCTGTAGATGGACTGAGCCAGGACATGGTTATCTATCGAATACCGAAACAAATGTAGACAAGGGCCATGAAAGAAAAAAGAAAGAATGGAAAGGGAACAACAAAACAACGGGTCTGATGTACGAAACTCCTCACACATGTAGATTATTGTGCCTAACACTGATAAGCTAAACTTCCAGTGGTAGACCATCTGTCATGGCCGGGCCTACTCGATGTTAATCTGAGTGTCTTCCACGGCTGATCCTGGTCCAAAGGTGAAGGGATGGGTTGGGGTCGCAGGTAATGTTCGCGAGACGGTCTAAAGAGACAAGGTTGAAGGGGTGAAAGGTAGATTGAGTCAGAGAGCTAATCCAGGTATTGACGAGCTCAAAGCTGGGGTATGTAGATACGAGGAGCTTTGAGCTGAGAAGAGGGATCCTAGCCAATCGGAGAGAACATGAGAGGTAGAAGCAAAGGAAGACCGGTTAAGTCGGTTGCCAAGGTAGCCGGCCTAGGAAGTGTAATTGGATAGCCAATCAGGAAGGAGAAGCAGTTAACCAAAGTAACACGTATGGAACGTGAGGGAGCCAAACGGGAGTAATGTGGGAACGTAGAAGAAGCAGGGCCGGGAGAAGGTCGGAAGTCGTAACCAAGGGGACGGTGAAACGGCCTTCAGGCTAAACCTAACTCTTTATTTCTCGGTGTTTCTAAGGAGTGTACGCGCCTTGCGGGCATTGTGGCCCCAGGTGCCACTTCGACGATGGAGATGTGGGATGGATAGAGGGATAGGCATGTGACCAGTCATGTGGTAGGCACGTGATGGCATGTGACCTTGTGGTCATGATGTAGGGACATGTGATCAGGTCTGGAACATTCTAGAATAGTCTTGTGCATGTTGACTCAGCAGTTTGTACCCATTGTGCCCATTGCTAGACCCACTGGATATCCATGAAGGATTCCTTTAGTGTTCACTTGTAGTGTACAGTGAGGGTGTGCCCTAAAGGGTCAGCTCAGGATGTATATAAGAATCACCTGTATCATAGAATAGTTCCCTAACTCGATCTCCTTTGCTTCTCGCCATACTCAGTGTGACCTTGTGTCCTGGTGTATCCAGCCCCAAGCCCACGGTCTCAGTTCACTCATATTCTCTCTGGGCTAGTGCCCCTAGGACATGCGCTCCTAGTATTCACGTTTGTACGCCTACGCCTTCAGCTACAGGGCTAGGCTTGTGTTTGGTTTAGGTTAGGGTTTGGCTATAGGTGATGCCTTAGGTTTAGGACCAGGCTACCTTAGCAGATGGAGGAGAGACTCAGAATATTACTTGTACCATCTACTGTGGCGAAAAAAAATAATGCAGGTGGCTCTGTGGCCTCAAAAATGACTTGAGTTTTTTTTCATTGAGGGTCTCGATTATTGTACGGTCTTTTGTATGATATAATAGTAGTCTGTATGGAGTATCTACCGGGCAATGATATCCTGCTGATACCTGTACAAGGGGTGATAAAATCGCGAATTTGATTAAATTGTCCGATTAAATTGTATTTTTAATAGCACATCAAAGACATGATATTTTCAAGCAAAACAAAGCTCTATGGGAAACTTTGGGATATAGAGAAACTGATAAAGGCCATAAACAGTCAGTGTTATAGCCTGTACAATTATGGGGTCAGGGGACATTGCGTGGCACAAAGTGCAGGCTACAGCATAGTACTACTCTACATAGAAATGGACCCAGAATCTCATTCCAAGAGCTCATTTATAAAGCAACTGTACCATAATTTTATGTAAATTACTTCAGAAAGTATTAGAACCTCTATTTCTGCTCAGAAGAGGCCATGTTGTGACCTGCACTTTATGCCACACAATGTCCCCTGACCCCATAATTGTACATGCTATGACACTGGCTGTTTATGACTTTAATTGCTCTCTATACATACCAAAGTGTCCGATAGAACTTTTGTTTGCTTGAAAATATTATGTCTTTCATGTGCTATTAAAATTACAATTTAATCGGGCAATTTAATCAAATTCGCGATTTTATCACCCCATGTACAGGTATTGGCAGAATATCATTGCCCGGTAGATACTCCATACAGACTACTATTATATCATACAAAAGACCGTACAATAATCAAGACCCTCGCTGAAAAAAACTCAAGTCATTTTTGAGGCCACAGTGCCACCTGCATTATTTTTGTTCGCCACAGTAGGTAAGAAATAGAAGAGGATGTGTCTGAAGATGAATGGAGTGGGAAAGGGAAAAAAAAGCAGAGAACAGG